TTATCGAGAGGCTAGTGTTATTGATAACATTTTCTGACGACGAAGGAGCTTTGACGAGATCGGAAATAAAATTTAATGGGGCGCCACGTGTCGTTTAAAGGCGGATAAAGCGAACGGAGGGGCCCGACGACAATGCGTGGTACTATTCGCGACACCGAAACCATAATTTCGTAATTCCGTAATTCCATCCGTAAATAATAAAATTTTCTAAAATCGGGGCCTTATGGTGGCGACTCGTGGAATTATCGAGAGGCCAGTGTTATCGATAACGTCTTCTGACGATGGAAGAACTTTGACGCGGTCAGAAATAAAATTTAATGGGGCGCCACGTGTCGTTTAAAGGCGGATAAATCGAACGGAGGGGCCCGACGACAATGCGTGGCTCTATTCGCGGCACGCGCGGAAGAAACGGCCCCGCGCGAATCACGGATGCACGGCGAGGAGTATTTGAGAAGCTCGGACGGGGGGAGGGAAAAGATTTATATCGCTGCTTATCGAACTCGCAAATTATACAGGGCCGGAAAGAGGCAACGATTTATGCGCACGCTAAGATGGAAAGTGCGTTTACTCTCTAGCGATCCCGGAGAGCTCTCGTTTGACGCGCGGCGAACATGGAAAGTGGCGCTAATTAGTCGAACGTTCGTTTCCCGGGATTAAAATGTTTAGAAAATTTGTCGAGCTCGAAAGCGTGCCCCGTGCCCGCCCGCGCGCACTCCAAACTTCCAGCTTAATTACATATCGCGTCGACATGTGCGAATTGGTGCACGCGGTAAAATTCGCCGGTGAAATTTTCCGTCCGAATTAATTTTCTTTTCTGTTTTTATCTTTTTTCCTGCCTTTTTAACCTCCAAGCTATGCTACGCTATGTTGTCTTTTTGGAGCATACGCCGCCATAGTGGCGCCTCGAACGGTGAGCCACTACGGCATTTGTTACTTTGTATATCATGCTTTTATATTTGCAATATACACATTATGCTAGGAAATGTATTTATATTATTCAAAAACGTGGACGATCGTAGTCTCGCAGTAGGTTAGGGGTTCGTGAAGTGCACGTGGTAAGAAAAGAGAAGATGACATTGGCGTATACGTTCGATCGACCCCCGTAAGATAAATTATTCTGGCCTTAAACGAAAATTATATTTGGTGTACCTTAACGTAAAAATTGTTCTAATTTTATCACGAATAAAATAGGTATAGAGTGACTAATCGGAATTAAATAATTTTACAAATTACAGCGCGAGGGGTTAAAGTAAAAATTTTGGTAAGGAAGCAAGGTATAGTATACGTTACTCGTTGCACCTGAAACCTTATCGTGTTTCTCGTATAAGACGATTTTTCGACACGAAAAATGCTTGGTAAATAAAAGAAAAGTGAGATAGAAGAAAAGGAGGGAAAAAAATGGTATAATTAACTCACCAGACGACGCCGAAGGCACCATATCCGATGGGTCTGTCGGGCTGAACGAGATCCTGGGTTGGCGGCGGTGGCGGGGGCGCAGGAGCGGCAGGGTGGTAATAGGTAGGGGGTGCCTGGGCCGGGGCCGCGAGGACTGCTTGTCCCGGGTGGGCCCCCGTTGTCCCGCCACCGCCTGTCGCCCCCGCCCCACCCCCCTGCATTAGCGACATAGACACGCTCATGGACACCCGCGAGTGCCGGCTGGGCCCAACTACTGCCATCAAAACTCTCCTCTCTCCCTAGGGGCCACCCTCCTCAACCCTTTCCCGATTCACCGCCACCGCCACCGCCAAGGCCCCTGCTGCTTCAGGGAACCCGGGACACGCCTCTGCTCGTCGATTCTTCCACCCGTTTCTATTTTTCCCCCGCTCACTCTTTCACCTTTCCAGCGAGACACTTCTTTCTCTCTAGATCTCGCCGTCGTCCCAGCAGCGGGACATGCACGTGACACTGACACAACTCGTCGAGGTTGTTTTCTTTTTCGTTTCACCACGCTGTGTACTAGCACGATATATCGAAAGGCCGTTCCTCTCCGATCGAACTGGGTTAGATTTTCGGGAAATCACTGTTACGAGAACGATCGACCGATGGACGCGCGCCGTAGCACCGGAAGCAAGCTTGTTGTTCACTTAGAAGTCAATAGGTCTCGATACGGCTCTGGGTTCCATGGCGCTGTTTCGAAGTGCGCACGGTTTTCCTTCCCTCGTACGATTCGAACGTCGATCGCGATAAGAATCGACGAGTCGCGTGGAAAACGATCGGCCGCCGTGTCGCTTCTTCCACGACGTACCTCGATTTTGAACGTCGCGCGCTCCCAAGTACGGCGGGAAGGGTTCAAGCTTGAGGGACGCGAGGGACGAAGGGGACTCGTGACACCACGCTCGACGCAGCGGCTATGGTCGCGTCCTTTTTATCGCGACTAAGGCAAAAACGATAACATGCGAAGGGTAACCTTCGGAAAGAGGACAGTGTCGATGTCTTCGTGTATGTTTCCTTAGCACGGTCGATGGTAAACGGGGCGTTGCGTGTCGAACGTTTCTCTATTCGGTAGTGTGTCGAGAAAGGAACAAACACTTTCGTGACTCTCTCTCGTGAATCCTTTGACGTTCGATACTCTTCCTGAGCGACGAGAAGAGCTGTTCACGGATGCGTGAATGTCACAAACGCTGGGGTGGGGGAGCGTTGAAACTGAACGTGCCACGTTTTTTTCGGTTTCCTCTCGCTACAGCCACGGTAACGATGTTAGGTTATGTTTGACACACGCACGCAAGCCGTTCTCCCTCTTCTCCGTCAGTAGTTACGCTCAGCTGGCCTCATAACGTTACGATCGGAGGGACGGAGGTGGAAAGGGGGCGGTGCTTGTCCGTAAGAAACACGGTAGCGCGAAACAGAGAAAGGAATGAGGGAACACTGAAAGGCTCGGTCGAGTCCTCGATGGCCACAGCGATTCCGGCTATGGGGCCAAATTTATTCGGCGGTTTGCGAATAACGAATGATTCCTCACTGTCCGGGTCCTACGGCCGAGCCAGAAACACTGCCACTTCTCGTACAGATCAAGCACGCACACACAAACACGAAACACGCGCGCGCGCACACACAAGCGAGAGAGGGAGAGAAAGAGAAAAAGGAGTCTCTCGCGTAGCCGCGATAGAGGGATCGTCGCGGTACGAACTAAACGCACGTCTTCTCGCAGCCAAAGCTTGCTGGCCACTAGTCGAAGGGGAAGGTAAGCTACGCCGTCGACAGCGCCAGCTGCTCACAAAGGAGATCACGTGATCTGCGTATTGACTCAACGCGCAACCGTCCCAGCGATCTTGGTTCCTCTTTGCAAATACGACTATAAAATCGTACCGGGTTACAATTTTATACTCTTTGTTTAATCAATTAATCCTCTATATTCTTTGATTAATTAATTCCTCCCACATTTATGTTTCCTTAGGCAAACGCGAAATACAGCAACGTCTATCGCATACCCGTCCAATTGTTATTTGAAATTCTTACGTCTTCCTCGAGATAGCCCTAGAGACTGATTAAAAATTACTAGATCGCTTCCAAACGTATTTCGTAACTTCGAATATAGTTTCTTTCGAAATTTCGTCTCCCGTTGGGATATTGGATACACGTGTTACGGGGGTAATAAAATCGAATAACGTCGTATAATCGAGTGTGTATATTTACATGATTTTCGTGAATCATTTCCGAATGTATTAAATTAACAAATCCATCGTTCTTCTCTCAACTGCGTCGCAACATGTACACACTTTTATAAAAAATGTTACACAAGTACGAGTAACTCGAGCAAGCCATATACAAAGCGCGCTTTCTGCTATTGATACGATTGTAAGAAAAACTCGATTGTATTGTGTTTTGTGTTAATTCTGTTCGGGTAACGTTTAAAATAGAAAAGTGATCTGTTAACGTGAACAGGTATCGAAAAAGAAGTCATCGGTCTCATCTTACAACCGTAACAATTTTATTTCACATTTTACTCCGTATATCCATGTTTGTATCAATATCCACATTTATCATATACATGTATCGCTCCAACGATAAGTATATCCATAAAGGAAAGTATTATCTGACACTTTGTTCAATTGTACATGTATTTGCAAGGCATGTATTCACAATTAACGTTACAAGAAAGTAACAAACTGGTTATCGCTTTTGATGGAAAATAACAAAGGCCAAAGTTACTGTGTTCCACGTGTTCTCGTTTTTATACATAAACAAAATAATTCTTTTCGCTATTATTCGTACCGCGTGCGTTAATAAATCGTTTAGTACACAATTAAGTCCAACTCATCCGTGAACTCATCATCCTATCTCACTAAAAAGATGTCCGCTCTTTACTATACTTCTACGATATAGGTACAATCAGTGAATACAGGCCTGAAAAACTTACATACGATCGTATAGGAAAATATGAAAAGATTACATCTGGAATAATTTTCTCACGCTAAATAGGCTTCTATCTTTGGTCTGACCGAATTTCCATCGACAATATGGCGAGTCATTTACCGAAGTTACGCGTGAATCACGAGAAAAATAAATTTCGCTGTAATATCGTATTCCTCGCTATATCGCGGATAACACAGTCCTGGTGCTCCCTCTTTTTCTCCTTCCTCGCATTCGTTTGGGCTCATCAAAGACCACGAACAAACTGTAGTAACAGGAAATTCAGCTCGAAACGCTCAAATAGGAGAATAAACATCACAATTTTGTTCGATCCGAACAAACCCCGATCTTTAACTCTCGAACGATTATGGATTTTCAACCCATGAGCGCCCGTGGACAATATTTACAGATATATTTCCAAACATATTATATGAATCTTTTTATATATCGTGTCAAAAATTTGTACAAAACCTTTGCGAAAATAGCTCTCCTCAAAATAGAGCCTTGACTTTCAAATAACTTGAAAATTTTAGAAATTTACGAATCCTTTCTTCTTTCTTCTTTTCCGGTTTTCTCTTTTTTTTTAATTTTTTTATTTATTTATTTATTTATTTCTTTTTTTTTCTTTTCTTTTTTTCCTTTTCCTTGATTATTCACCGGGCACCGATGGGCTCGGACATGACATTCGTGTCGTGCCGATTTACCGATTTAATAGACTAACATTAATTCACGGTACTATAAACTAACAAGCGCACAGTATTAGCAATATTAAGCTCATGAGGTATAGTGTGCTTTACACCATAAATAATCTACCATTTGGCGAGAGGTTGTATAGAATGAAATTTGAAAGCTCGTATAAGAGTTACAAAGTATATCCGATACATAATACGATCTACACGTAAAATAAAATATGTAACGAAATTTGTATAAGCATGCAAGATGAATCACGTGAAATTTTCCGGAAGTGCGTGAAAGTAGCTCATTTGTTATTACAATTCGAAATCAGCCTCGAGTAAAGTTGAATCATAAGAATATTGACGATTTTTTTCATGTAAAAATATAACGATAAAATAATAACGAAAGTAATAACTCAAACGCTAATGTCGCATAAAATTTGTGCGAATTTTCGATTTAATTTCGTTTGGTTTTTTGTTTTTTTTTTTTAACTTTCGTTTTACAAATAACATATATGCGAGTTCAGATTTTATTCGATTTAAATTTCGCGATGTAAATTATTGGAAACATCTCGCCAGACAATTTTTTGATCGCGGCGGTCAGGCACCACTCAATCACTTATAGAAATTTTTGTTAGGTATTTCGAGCGACGATATACATCGAAGTTACCTTAAATCGGTTGTAAATTACGAAAGTTCGAAGCCCGTATTACTAGTGACAGCATAACGTAGCTTCTCCCGCAAGGTACTTTTTTTTTGATAATTTGGCAATTTAAGAAGATTAAAACACGTAGACGACGTAGGTAAACGATTCTGCGGATCTTTCTTACGAATCGTAAAAAATCCCCGTATTACACTACCTATTTTATAAAGAATTAATACAATGAATAAAATGTATACAAAATAGTATGTGGTGTTTACAGTTTCATACCAATTGTATCTCCCGTATCTTCATCGTCTCCAACTTCAACGCAACGAATTGAAAATGGTGGTTCTAAATGTGCGAAACCCAATAATGGTGACTTTGAGCAGCTTGTAACAAACTATGAGGTAAACAGAAATATTAAAACAAAAGCGACCTTGTTTTTAATTACCATATTTCGCTATGTACCTTCAAAAATAAGCCTCTTTCTTCTTCAGAAAAATCTTTTTCTAAAATATCCCATAACCAGCACACCACACGATGACTATCATGAAAACCACCATAATATTGCGTATGCCTTCGCAAATCTCGTAAATCTAATGGAACATTATCACCCGAAATTAATCTCTGTAACTAAAAACAAAAATATTTCAATGATATATTTGTTTAAGGAATACTAAAATCCTCCAACAACGGTTATCTTACTTCTGGAGTTGAAAACAGCGCCAACCATTCGGGATTGATTATAGAACGAAATCCTTTGATAAAAGCGGCTGTTTGATCTTTTATTTGCATATGCATTCTGAAATGTGCCATTAAGTGTATATAATTGATTTTATTTTCGTTAGTAACGGGTACCGCTCGTCCTCCAGGAATCAATTCATGCGTAACTAATTTGCCTAAAACGTCTTCATCAAGGGAGAATGTTAATTCTAATTGTCTAACATCACCTTTATAATGCTTTACAAGAGTAAGACTCCGATATAAGTCTCGATCTAAAGAAGCCAATTCATCCAACCAACTGTATAATGCACCTCCAGTTTGCCCAGAAAATTGGGAAACAAAGAAGGATGCAAAAGGTACGTCTACAACAATGCCCTGTAAAAGATATTATTTACAGAATATAATAAATTCTCATAGGTTATACTTATGTGTATGTTTCTCTTTCTTTTTGCTTACTTCATACACGGCTTTACCCAGCATGCGACCAACAAATTCAAAAAGTTGCAAGTGATTGTCTTGCATGGAGGATGTTGGAGATGGATAAAGTCGATTTTCACTAGTGACTTTAAATAAATTTAAAGATGGATCAAAAACTTTTTTTATTGTCTCCTCTAAAAATTCTTTGAAGACTCCATCTTGATCAATACCAGCTTCAGCTAGACCTTGCTCATTTACAAAACGAACTCTGATTACGCCTTTAAGTGCCTGAGAAGGTAACATTGCTAATTGGCGATATCCGTCCTCCACTATACGTGTCCTACAAAATGTTTACATTAATTATGGTACAACATATCCAACGCAAAAAATATCCTATTACCTGTGAACAACAATAAGTGTTGTCGGTGTACTGTTGCAAGCACTTTCGGTTAAACCTAGAACTGCTTTTTCGTTAGCAACATGCTTACGGAACAGTACGACACGTTCCGAGTGAGGAATAACATGAGGCATTTTAGAAAGAAGAAGAGCAGCACCTCGCCTGCCTTTCTCCAAATCTGCCAAAAAACCAGACACTCGTACTTCCTGTTTAAAAAACGTTTACATTTTGAAATCATATGATATTATACGGAATTAATTTTGTTCAAAATACTTAACTTTGCCAACCAGTGCCCTTCCGGACAAAAAGTCCGTCTACAATCTCGTCGATAAATTGCCATTAAAAGAGTGTGAAGAGAGGTGAACAGAGGATTATTAGGAACCGATTTCACGTCTGGAACATCTAAAACTTCAGTACATAGCTAAACCACTTATCTTTTGTGATTATATATCGAGAGACAACATAATATCAGATATATTATAAAATTATATTATATCAAGATTATAATACACACCAAACAAATTATTAAGCACTGCCTTATATAAAAATTGATTTAAAAAGTAGGATATCGTTACAAAATCGCTAAGTTTGAAAGGATCTTGTTGTTCATACATTTCCATATCATCTAAAATTCTAAAGAAAACATAGTTAATGTTATTTTTAATATTAAACAACTTTTTACATATTTACTTCCATATGTTACAACACATACTTACGTAACATAATGTGTCATACAATCAGAAAATAATATCAACATTTGAAATTCAGGTGCTGTACATTTTGTATTAGCAGCTAAGTGGTCCAAAAATGCTTTTAGACCGCAATGTGGACCCAGTGTTCCCAAAAATAAATACATATGATATAAAATTTTATCTTGATAACATAGACCTATTGTATAATACATACATGTATAATTATCAATGCATCATCAAGATTACTTATATATATATATATACTCAACAATACTTACCAGTTAATATCTCCATCTTCATCTGTGTAAGTGTATGTAGAGCAATTTGATACAGAGAACATATTAAAGCTATCCTAGTAGTTTCTGGACTTCCCAATTTTCTATAATTTTTCGTATTATTGTTCCTATTTGTACGTGCTTCTAAAAACGCCCTTCTAAATATGTTAGTACCAACAGATGTACTTTGTTGGTCTACTGATGGAGGTATCTCTTTTTCAATAAGTTCTGTTAAAGGTTGCCCTAGAAAAATTACATTATAGCTTCTAATATTAATTGTAACATGGACATGTTTATAAAAATAAAACACCTCTCATTACCAATCAGTTGTGAAACTATTCTTCCAGTCCACAAACAGGCTAACTGTGATTTCACATATGGGATAGGTTCTTGTAAGGATGTATCAACCTTCTGTGCAAGCCAACCAAGAATAGGATGCCAGTGTGTTAAATTACTTTGTTTTGCAACTACATATTGCTGACATGCTTCCAACATTTTTGTTACAACAAACTATAACATTTTTTTTTAGAAATAAAATCTATTTAAGGACCTAAATTTAGATTACATATTATATAAGAAATTTATACCGTAAAAGATGGAAAGTATAACTCTTTTAATACTTCATCTCTTTCAATATTAGCCAATTGTATTAAATTAGCTAACAAACACAGTGCATAGCTACCTTCCAAAGCATTAAAAACTATTCTCAAATTTTGCTCAGAGTTCAGCAATTCCAAACTTCTTGCAAACAAATTGTTTGTAATAAATGATGAAATACACTAAAAATGTATGAAGAAAAATATTGCATGCTATAAAATAACATTTAAAGTTATATATTGCTGATTACATACTACTGATGATATATTATTCAGATGATAAATCAATGCAGGTACGCTAAAAATATTAATTAAAAACAATGAAACCAATTTATCTGACATCTGGGAGGAGATTAATGGTCTTAATGCCAATGTAACTGATGCTGAAAGTGCAATTGGTTTTAAAGAAATTTCCGCTCTACGTAATCCTTTTATTAGAAAAGCCTAAAATAAAATATAATAAAAAATTAACTACATCAAAAGAAACTGTATTGAATAATACAAGAACTACTATTAATAGGATAATCACTTGCATAATGGGATAAAACCCATTGTTGACTAGGTGGCCCATTATATTGGCACAAAGCTGGTTCATACCAGCTTTGAGTTTCTCCATTCCTTCCACTTTCTGAATTGCCCATGTTCCTGGTGATGTAAAACTAACTAATGTATGTAATCTCAAATGGATGGATTTATGGTCAGATACTCTTTCTGGTTTAAGATTGTCTAAACCAGTCAGGCAATAAAGTAATATCGTTTTCATCTGTGATATCCATGATATGTAGCGATCTTTGTTTAATACGAGTCCCACATAAGAAATTTCTGGAGACTCTGAATCTAGAGTCAGTACTAAATATCTGAAATATTACTCTTCTTACAACTATTCATAATTTTGTAACTTTTCTTTTTTTTCATTACATATCATTTAAATGTAGCTGTCTACATTTTGAAAAAATACTTCTTATATATACATACCTACATAACTTTTCTATTCTTTCTTGAACTTTTTCTTTTTTATATATGTACAAAAATTTAAAAATAATTTTATACACATCCAAAGCAGGTTTTAACTTTATATTTGTTTCTGTACCACCATCATTGAGAAAATTTGTGTCAAATTCTTCTCTGAAAATTATATTCTTTGCTCTACTATTTTATATCTAATTTCTTCTTAAAGAACACAAATAACTTAAAAAAATTAATAAATACATTAATATAAATTTTCCGCACATTACAGCAAGAAAAAAATACACTCGACAGTCGAATGACCAATGGAAGATTACTGAGTGTAAATAAATAAATATCGATAACTAATCAGAAGAATACAACTACCTTATTTATGATATTCCAAGAAACTTATTGAAAAAGTAATATAATTATCATAAGCAGACACAAATATTTAGAAACGCATCGAAAACTCACAATATTCTTTTACGGGTCAACCATCCCCTAACATAAGCCTGAATTAAGATGACAGCAGCTTCTCTGTCTTTCTCATGAGCCCTTTCTTCCCTAGCGGCCTTCATTTGCTGAAGGAAGCTGTCTCTAGACGGCTCCTCAGCTTTAAACATCCTTGATTTACCGCGAACGCTCGCTAAGCACTAAATTATGCTAATGACAAAACATTGTCAGCTGGTCATCCGTGGTCACTCTAGTTGACACCACGATTCAACTACCCACTAGAAAATCATCCTTTACAGCAGTACACGTCACGTTGATTTCATTCGTGGTATAATCACTCTGACCGATCGGCAGCGAATGCCACTCGCCACACGTTTCTCACCATCACATAATCCGGGTATACCTCCGAATGACAGCCAACTACGACGGCCATTGTTATTAATTTGATTCGAGGCTGAATATTGAGGACAAAGGATATTAGGTTAGGTTAAAAAGCACGTGACTAGTGGCGCCATTAGATCGTCGAAGTAAATTATCGAACTGTATACGTGTTGACCGCTTCGCTCTAAGTTCACTACATAGTCTCATTAAGAATATTTTAGCTATTGGCTTTTAAAAAGTGTATTAAATGTACTAAATTTGAAATTATGAACAAAACATTTTATTTCGTTTACTCGAACAAGTTGTATTTCGTCACTTTAAACGATATACTGAGTAATTGATATATGACAGACGAAAAAGTTTGTTTTACATTTTTTCACAAAAATAATGTTGATTTTATAATACGATGTACTACTATTCGATATTTTGTACTTTATTTAAAACGATATTAAAAACAAGTTCATCGATAATTCATATCACATGCGACTAAATTCTATTTCCTTATGAATAAAATCAATTTAATAGCATTTATTCACTGATTTTTATCAAAACTGCAAGCAAGATTTAAAGAATTATATAAAATATTATCACTAGTGTTAATATTGTTATGATTATTATTAGTATACTGATACTAATTTTAAAACCTAAATCAAGATTAGAGTTTCTTAAAGATGAATATAAAATTTAATTTTTCAATATCTTTCAGATACAACTTTCAATTTAAGAATTAACTGGATAAATGTATAAAAATTTGAACAAGCAATTATTTAAATACATTAACACCATTTAACTCTGCGATCAAAATAGTTAATGAAAATATTACCAGTTGCGAGTGCATCGATTTGATAATTTGCGAAATGTATCTACAGTAGTTGCACTCAAATCCGTCGAGTATGAAGTTTCTTATATTTTCATAAAAATTCTTTTAAAGAATTCAAAATTGATTCTTAAATTCAGATCAAATGATACTTCTATTAAAATCATTTGTCATTGCTTTCCGTGATAAATTTATGCCATAAACACTAATTTAAATTGTTCTTAAATTAATGTACTTTTGTTGCTAAATGCTTAAGATAATCCATAAAGTTTTAGAGTTCTGTCCATACTGGTTGATGCTATATATTGCGCATGTTTTCCGAAACGAACACCAGTCGCGGCTGCTGTATGGTCATTAAGCACTTTTAGTTCTTGCCACTGTTTACACAAGTACACTCTGAAAGCAAAAACAAAAATATTAATAAATAAATGAGTATTTCTGGTATAATTTAACTTAAATACATTAAGTAAAATAATCCTTACCTTACGTCTGTTCCAGCTATAGCTAAATATGTTCCACTTTGGTCAAAGCAAATATCTTTAACTTCATATGAATCTTCTAATTGAAGAGTTTTGAAATTCTTCAATTTACGTAAATCCCAAAGTTTCACACAAGAATCTTCTGCAGCGGTAGCTAAATAATAACCATTTTCGGAGAAACTAATCGCCGTAATTGGTCCTGAATGGCCTGGAAAATTGGCTACATTCGACTGTTCCTTCAAATCCCAAATTTTTACCTGCGAATCTTGTGTACCAGTGCCAAAAATTAATCCATCAGGATGAAACTGAGCTGTAGTCAAAAGTTGACCAACTTGTCCAAGAACCTAAATCAATATAAACATAACATATTGAGTCAAAGTTTAAATATCTATGAAAATTACTTTTTTTTTGTAATTATACCTTAGTCAATAATCTACCAGTACGTATATCAGAAAATGCCCAATGTTGATCCAAAGAAGAACTTAGTAAATAATCGCCTGTTGGATGTAGAGACAATCCAGTCACAGGGGCATCATGAGCTTTCAATAACAAAGTTGTTTGACTAGTCCCTACATTCCATACACGTATTGTAGTATCAGGTGATGCAGTCATTACTATATCCTCTTCTGGATGATAGATTACTCTAGTAACCTAAATATCATTAAAACAGAAATATTAGACATTCAATAATATTTGTAGGAAATATAAACAGTTAGTGGGAAATAGTAACAATTTATACCTTTTTAGTGTGTCCTTTTAATATTGCAACAACTTGCTCTGTATCTTTATTAAATACTGTTGCATTCTTATCAGCACCACCAGTTAAAATCTTACTGGTATCTGCACTGTGAATATCAAGCGCGAGGATGCCAGGAACACTAGCTGAATGGAGACCCTTGAAGGTGAATAAATAACAATAGTAATGATGTATGAAAAATCAGTTACACAAATAAGAAGCACAACATTACAGGATGTGATGCAAGTGTTTGAAATGCTCGAATACTATCTTGTGCAAGCAAATTTTCAGGTATTGAACGTCCGCGACGTTTTCTTTCTTGTGTGAGTACTGTAGCTCTTTCCTGAAGTTTCTGTATCACATCCTCAGTAATACCAGCTTGTTCCATAGGCTGAGCAGCTGTACCACCAGCTTCCACTGCAAGTGCCTATAACATAATTCATTGATATAGATTCTGAATATAAAATTACATAAAATTGATATAATCTTGTTCATACAGGTTGTGGAATAGTGGTAACTTGAACAATTCCAGCTTGAGGTTTCAAAGTAGCTAATGCTTCTCTGGCTGCTGTTACTTCTTTTGTCAATCTAGCAATTACACGACATGCAGCATCATGTTGATATAAAGCATGAGACAATTCTTGTCTAGCAGTTTGAAGCTGCTGTCTAAGTGTAAATGAATGCAACATAACAGCATCCCATTCATCTTGTAAAATCTTCAATATAGCTGGGATTGATGTAGCGCTTGGTGGTTTAGGTTTGACTATTGCAGTAGCTATAACATAATAAAGATATTTCTAATACTTCTATATGCTATTCAACAACAAATATGCAAAGGGAAGAAAATAACATACTTTTAATATCAATAAGCTGATCTGCAGTTAATTCCTTTCCAGTAATAGGATCTACCCCATTTTCAGCAAGGTATTTTTCGATTAATCTTTTTTCAAATATGGAACCAGATACTGGAGACACAACTGGATGTTCCGGAACTTCATTAGAAACTGAAAAATAAATCTTTATTTATCTATGAGATTAGTGGTAATGAATAGCATTGTAGGTTATGTTCAATTCTTGCCGGTATGAAACACTAATTTTATTACAACGTAATTTTATTACGACTAATTTATTTCTATTATTGTAATATTTCACCACCATAATAAAATTAATATAAATTTATTAATTTTTTATTTAAAAATAATTATATAAAGAAGAAAAAACTCACTTGCACAAGAGAGCGCCATTTTCACATACGCGGGACGTGTTTACTGCGCATGACATTTAAGTCAATTTACTATAGTATTTCTATAAATTTAATAAATTTAATTTTATATGATATTTGTATACAACGTATTTTATGCAATTATAGTAAAGAATAGAACAATTATAATATATTTCTATATTATAAAATATTTAAACTGTTAAAATGCTATATGACATATTCAAAAAATATCAAATATACAGATAAAATATTTATAACAATAAATAAGTTTTAATGAACAAATCTTTATAAATATTTTCTTCGTATTGGCTGAACATTGTTTATCTAATGATATATGTAAGCGAAATTAAGAATCTCTTTCTCTACGAGAAGTCCATAATATTGAAGAAAGACTTTATATATCAGTTCAACTTCCGTTTTAGTGAAGTAAACATGGCTCCTACGGTAGCTGTCATCTTTTTTCTTGTATTCGCCTTTACAACTTCTCATATTGATTCAACAAGCAATTATGCATTTGCAAGAGTCGAGGTATTAAATATATTGACGTTTAATTACACAAATTTTATTACATTAATATGTCATTAATCTAAGTTTAATCATTGTAGTTTAAAATACCAAAAACTTATTTCAGAGTTGTCGTGGTTGTCGCTTAAGCCGGCTCCCAGATGTTAAACAGTTTATCTTTGAAGATTTACCCAATTAGTATCCTTAATTAAAAATTATTGAGCTATAATATTCATTCGTAAATTGAGTAATTGTAATTTTCTTCGCTAAAATATTATTCTTTTACTTTTGTACATTAATAATATTGTAGTTATGATCAAGAACAGATAATTAATCAATTAATCTTAAGATTTTTGATTACAGAATACCTGATTGTTTTAATCTTTTATTTTTTTATCATATCTAGGCTTATATCTATAGGCTTATATCTATATAAATATTTTGTTTGAATTATAATGTTTGGAATAATAATTTTGTAATACTAGAAAAATCTTTATTTAGTTTCTTATTTTAATTAAAACCATCTTTATAGCAAATAATTACATAGATCCTTAAAAATTATTCTAGTAATAATATTGAATTTGTGCATATTCAAAATGCAGTTCCAGAACTTCTTTTGTTCAATGAAAATAAAGAGGTACAATGTGATTAATACGTGTGCATTACATAAGATAATTAGATGTTTTCATTCTTTTAGGAAGTGGAAAGATTACCTTTGTCAAGTTTGACACGAGAAGAATGCAATAATCTGTTAATATCTAAAGGATTTACAAAAAAGACAGAAAAAGATGAAATATAAAAATAAATGAAGTATTAATGAACATCTGTAAATTTTGAAAATCATTTTAAAGCATCCATTATAGCATAAGTTACTTTGATATATCTCTGTTGTGCAATAAATTTTCTGTTTATTGTAGTATGTTTTTATTTTTATTTGTAAATAGAACTAGGTTTTACTCTTCCAAAAAAATTAAATGCTTTTTGATAAGTATTAATTACAGTAAAAATAATAAACGTACTTCAGGTCCAAAGTTGATATATCTAGGGTACTAAAAGATAGCATTATATATATATAAAGATATGTATATATATTGTACTTTATTAGATAGTTCATAGTGGAAGCATAATTAAAGCACAAAATAGTAAACAATATAGGGACCTTTTGATGCACGAGTTGCTGTCTTTGAGTACCTCATTTTCACATAGATGAGGGAGCAATGTATTTTCTCCCTGTGGAGCTGCAATCTGTGATACAATTACTAGATCCATAATGTGACAAAACTGATCATTATGGAATGCATGGCTTTCTTTACTCAAAAGTTTTAGTTGTTGAGCTAAGGCAAGTAGAAATAAATAAAATGACATGTTATCCAAATTTTAATTAATAAGAATACATTTAATTAAAATACTTTGGTACATTAAGAAAGAACTAGAATAACTGAAATTTAATAAAAATTGTAATCTGAATTATTTTATTACAGATGAGATTGAAATAATTTTATTCATAATAACTCCTGATACAACTGAAAGTTTTGTAGTAGAGTATCCTGTGCATGTTCATTTTATTCATATTATGCACAATATTGTTCTGTCTTTATGGTAACAAAGATTTATTTTGGTAAGCACATTTAACATATAAAAACAGAAAAAAAGACTTGAAATCATTAAAAAACGTTATCAAGACAGAATCAGACATCAGATAACAACAAAGTTCTGCACTATAGATTAAATAACCTAAGTAGAATAATTTACGGTTTAAGCTTGTGTGATGTACATATTTATGTTTAAAATATTATTACAGGGCATTGCAATTAAATTGTTTGTGTTACTAAATGTGTATACTTATAATATCTAATAAACAATTTCAATCCAATCTTATTACTATTATTACCCCAATTTTTTTTAAAAATTCGTTGAATTTTTGGGAAGTTGGCAACTGAACAGTAAGGGATTTTATTAAAAGAAGAATTACTTGTATTTTTTTGTCTCTAATTTATTCTAATATATTGAATAAACTTTTAAGAGAATTTACAATATTTGATTCTTAAACAAATTACACATTACATTTAGTGAATAATGTTGATATTTTATAACTAATAAGGAATACATTTAATTACAAACACTTAATTTGTAAAAATTAAGTTTCTGATGTCAATAGTACTGTGTATGGAATGTTAATTTCCATTCACCATATTTATCAATCATTGTGTCAAGATAGAAAACGAACTTTATTTTCTTTTATTATGTGACCATCAGTTCTCGAATTTATAATTCCCATTCTTCTTCTATTTCCATAAACGTAATACAAATAAAAGCAGAAAAATAAATAAGCTAGGTTTACCACCTTATACTTTCATTAATAATAATAATAATAATAATAATAATAATAATAATAATAATAATATATTACAATATTATATATCATATAGTTATATATTTGTTTTTACTTCGTTTCATTTGTATTTGTTACCAATATGTGCTAATAACTAGGTTATATACACTGTTTATATCAATAATTACTGGAAACTGCATGGGTCCACATTGATATAATAAAACTGCGTTAATCGGATTTTTTTTAATATGTATACTTTGTGTAAAGTAGATGTCTTATGTGACTAAAAGTGATATATTTATATTTATATACATAAATACCATAAGAATAAATTTCAAAAACTCTAGAACTAGAAAAATTATCTGCTTGAATATACGTGTTTACATAAAAGTGTAATTATAAGAAAATAACTTATATTTTTTTCATATTATCAACAATGATATCAGTAACATTATGTGTAGATAAAAAGTTTATTGTTTTTCTTTTTTCTTATTATAATCGCAAAAAATAAAAAATAAAGTGTATGTACATGTAAAAATGTTATTACAGCAATAACAAAATCCGTTTGTTTATTCAAGCAGGTGTAGTTACTGTAGCAAGTAACACAAACGGGGGAAAAATCGATGTATTAATAAAAATGTAATGAATCAATTCAGCAAGTGGATTACAAGATAAAGAGCAAGTAATATGATTGAACAAAATGTTATGCCATCAGCAGCCAACAAATAAATATCAAAGCCACCCATAAAAATACTTTTGAAAGGAATTGTTCTTCTGCATATTGTGGTGTTCCTCTAACAGCTATATAAAAATATATATTTGAATTCATTTTTATTAGTATTCATTAGTATTTATACACAAAATTTATTGATTTGGGGAATATTTTACCTGCACTTGGTCGTGTTTCTCCCAAATTAAAAGTGGATGTGAAAAATGCAAATGGAAACGTGCCAATACCAAATGACATATAAGAACCATCTCCAAACCCTAAACTAGAAAATCCCATATTATTATCAGGTTCAGTCCTTTGCCCAGCAGGACGTGGTGGAACATTGTTCCTAAAAAAATGCAAAATATAGGTTTTAATACATTATTGAATATAATGTGTATATAATAGTAAAAATAGAAATATAATCTACCTTGGATCTTCATGCCTTGTATCTCCACGTCCATATAACGGAATGACTTTATCTTTGCTAATTGCAGCTTTACATACTGGGCACATTTGCCTTGTTGGACGTGTCTCTAACCATTGATACAAACAAGGCCAACTAAACACATAAATATATCAATATATGCTACACTATTTATTATTTATTAGAAAGATGTTGAAATATGAAACAATTTATAAATATATAATCTATTTACAACAAACTTACCAAAATAAATGACCACACATACTAATAACTGCATTTTTTGCGGTATCAAGACAAATATTGCATTCAAATGTTCGATTATCCTTTTCTTTTTCTTCTGCAGCAGAATCCCATGGTTTGGATGGTCCTGCTTGTTCCCTTGTAGTCCGCATATTGATGAACCTTTATAGGAAATACAATTGACATTAACAAGACTCTATGAAATAGTGATTACAAAAATTCACGAATTTGTTTACTTAAGAAGTAAAAATCACTCCTGTACACATAATTTAGCAACTAAGAATAAAAATTAGTTTTGTTTTATATTACCGTACGGCAACGTTAAGCAGGCAAATGGAAATTTAAGACGGTATGTTTTTTATCACTTGACACTGACGACACTATCGCACGAAAAGAAAAACAATTTTAGGAAAACAGTATGACAATCCCTGTAAGCATAATATAAAAAAAAAAAACACTAGCATTTTATATAAATATCATAAAGTATTAAAGGTTAAATCATTAAAGGAATATGATCTATTTAAATATACAATTTCCATTCACAGTCATTTTAACATCGTATTTTCTGAATCTATTAGCATTCTCTGACGTATTATATATATTCATGAACATACGTCGGAAGTCATATGTCCGTGACAGAAACGCAAATGTTAACAAAATACGTAAAGTATTAATATATTTTGCACGGAAAATAACAAATTGTTACATACGGGATTATATTTGATGAAAATATTGACCGAAAATTCTGTGGCGATTAAACTTCATTAGGTAATGTTTGGCGAGTAAGAACGACAGGCTTCGTCAAAATACTAATGGAGTTGCATCTGCCATTGCTGACATAATTCATGTCACTTACTTTAGTCTTTTGACTGCGGAGCTCTCTCAGCGATATATTCTTCCGCGAACTTAAAACTGCTTCCAAAATGATCTGATGTATCACGTACACCGTAGTAGCAATTGCGCAAGTGCCATCAGATGATTTTCATGATTTTTCACGAAACGGATGTTCGAAATAATACGTAAAAAATTTGTCGATAGTGCCTCCGCGTTTATCTACAAGAGTGTTATCGTTAACAATTATTGGTACAAACGATTCGCGTTTTATTTTTCATAGGCGTATCTTTGATTACTTTTACGATTATCGTGTCAATTTTAATATGGCTATTTAAAGCCACCACTTGATTAACGCTGTACTCCAATCGCATGATTATTTTTTATCGACTGTGCGTACGATGCAGTTCGATTAGTTTCTTCGGTGCACTAACAGAGTACGCAACTGATACCAATTAACGAATATATACCATTGAAATGTCTTTCAGCTTTATTTTATATTAATTATTTGATTATAATTATATTAAATTTAAATATGAAAATGTATACTATTTTTAGAACCTTTCGTAATAAAACAGGTGAAATGCTGATAGATTAATAAATAAATATTTAATTACCTATTATTTAATTTTACGTTAATAGTTATTTTTATAGTTTATATATAAAACAAAAAAGTAATATATAAAACTACATATATATCTTTTATTAATGTATAAGATAATTTAACACAATAATTTTTATAAACATTCCAAAATATTGATAAAACTGTATCTAACATTGATTTCCGTATTACCATGGAGTTAAAGTCAACTGTACTGTTTAATACGTTTTCCTTTTAGACATAACGAAGTCATTTAATAATAAAGTAAAGATACTCAAGATAGAGAATGTACAAAGTAATGGAACAATATCATAACACGATGATACAGGAAGACACGTAGATTAGCCTTCGCAGATACTCTATAAATATTTTATTTACTCGGGGATATTCGACTACACAGGTATCAACAAAACAAAACAGTTTACTACTTATACAAGATAAGAAGTATATGACACGAAAAAATTTATTTACTAGTATGAAAACGGACGAAACAGAATCTTCACAGAATCCTTTAAGGGCTCAAAGCAGTAAATTCGAAAGTCCAGCCTCGTCGAGATTCAAGATTAGTCTAACAGGAAAGACGCGCAAGATTGCGGGCAAGAACCTAACCTCTATTATTTTGCAGCAACGTCAAGCGCTTCGAGTGATAGATAATGATGTTGACGTCACTCCAAAATTACTGACCCATCCAACCTATAGTTCAGTTGATGAGAAGCAGATAACTGCATTCGAAACAATCGGATTATCTCAAACTGGCAGCATCGGCCAATTGTCTATCATTTCCGGTTCAAGCGGTGTAAAAAGAAGCTCGTCTACAATTGTTAGAACATCTTCTCTTCCTTCCGGCTCGATAGTAGCGGATGATGTGCTATTCGAAAGCTTATTATCCACTCAGACAGACGAGTTCGTGCTTGAAGATGAAGATGAAGATAAAGCTCCTTCTCAATTTTATTTGCCTAGGTAATTCTGAGAACGAGTTTTAAAATTGGATATTTTAAGAAATTTAAGGTTTTGTTTAGACGATTGATATTATATTAACCCTTTGAGGACGTAGCTATGATTCAAGTATGTTAATAAAAATATTCCTAGATATATATATATTATTTACGTCTTTTATTGGCGTAAATAAACGATAGGAGTATATCGTGTCCGCAAGGAGTTAATACTAGCATTTTATTATAATTCTACTTATATTAATAGGAAAAAATATTATTTTCAAAATTTCCTTCATTCATTTAGTATCGATCCAAATATTTTTCCTACTCGACCTGAAACTGTGACACTTACTTTGAGGGAAACAGAGACGTTCTTCATTTTTGAGATGCAACCACGAACGGCTGATTTACGTACTCCGGAGGGTATAATGGTCAAAGAAGAGAACGAGAACTATGAATATAAAACAATCGGGCCTGGTTCGAATAGAAAATTGATAAACGTCGAAACTCAGACCATAAGAGTACTCACGAGGTCTCGAGGAACGTACCTTGGCAGAAGAAAACGTAGAAATCAAGGCATGTTCGTAAATAATTGGGTAATTCATGATATTTATGCTGCACCTGAACGGATACTCGAAAGAAACGGACTGTTTGTGGTACATACAAAAGAATCTATAGAACAAATGTTAAAAGCAAAGGTTTGCACGGTTTCCAGTTTTATAAATATTTTACCTTTATACGTAATTTTTATAAACTTACGATATAGTTAAGTTCAATTTTGTTGTTGTAGACACTGAAATACAAACTATCAGAATCCGAAATATACGAGGAAAAGACTCTCGAACAGGAACAGATATATATATTCCAACTGGTTAATTTTCAGAATGCCGTACGAGTAGTGGAGCGTATAATATCGAACAATATTTTCATTCACGCTCAGAAACGTTTTACTGGCCTTATCAAGCAAGATCCATGCAGCCTCGATTTAGAGTTCACTTACAGTTTAGACCTACTTTGGATTCATAGCTCTGAAGAGAGTTCAGGAAGACCAGTGGCCTCCTTCTGTTGGAATTACGTTAATAGAAATATTTTAGCGGTAGGATATGGGGCGCGAGTTAATTCAGAAACTAAAAATGGTCTGGTGTTACTGTGGTCTGCGAAGAATCCGGGGGTACCGGCTCGTTGGTATACTTTCGACAGTCCGGTAGCAGATCTCGATTGGAGTCGTGATCGACCGAATCTACTCGCTATTGGTTTCTACAGCGGTGAAATCAAGGTAATCGATGTGAGTAGTCAAGATATCAATATCGTACGCCGTAGTCAAAAAACCACATCATCTTCGAGTTCTCCACACTGGCAAGTTCAATGGTGGCTAGGAGACGAGCAATACGAGTACCAAGAACAAATTTACACCTGTACTCAGGATGGTTGCGTATTCTGTTATCGATACGTCGAAGATTTCACTTCGTCGACGATCATGCGAATTTTTAGGATAGAGGGTACACTGCCGGGTGTCAGTAGAACTGCCCAGTGCAATCTTTACGATATATCTATCAATCGAAGTCCTGGGGCATTGGTGCTCCGAAAGCACCCTACTTTGAGTACTATCTACTATGTCGGCTCGGATGAAGGTTGTATCTATAAATGTTCCACGAATTATCTATATCAGCATATAGACAGTTTTCTAGCGCACGATGGGCCAATGTACTCGATGATGTTTTCTCCGTTCTGTCCAAAAATCTTTCTGACCTGTGGCGCCGATTGGTGCATTCGAATCTGGGCTGAAGGATTGACAGAACCATTAATTACCTTGTCTACGACGATGGCATGCGTTCGATACGCATGCTGGTCTCCTGTTCACTCCACGATCATCGCAAGCATCGTTAGCAACGAGATTTGCTTATGGGATATTAGACGAAAGACCTATAAACCTGCGTCGGTAACCATGTCACCTAACAACGTCAGGTTTGTCATGGCTGATTTTACTGCGAATGGAAACCAACTCGTAGTGGCGGATGTAAAAGGTACCGTGTATGTGTATAATCTCGAGGGAATGCCGTTTCCGCCATACAATCAGGAACAGGTGCTGGTAGAATCGATCGAGAAAGCTTTGATCACAAAGCCGATGCTTCTAAAGAACCTAAAAAAGCTCGGACAGCCATTTTCTTGATAAGAAGGAACAAGGATTGACTTATACTATCTTAAGTTAGTCGTGATCTTCTTTACCAGACTGTTGTATACTTATACATATATATATACATTGTTATATGACGTCCTATCGTAAAACGAGCATTTGGATTATCGTCCATCTGATTTTCAATAAGTTGCTGCGGTGCGACGCTACAATCCCGTGCTTATCCTGTGGACCTTAACTGTTAGCCACGTCGTTACGGGAGACAGATATGACATTTTAAACTTCTTTATCGACTGTGCAGCCGCGGGCAAAATCCAGCACGTGGGGACCCCTTTCGGTCCCCCGAAGCGAAGCGTGCCCGAAGGGCCTTGCGTGATTCGCGCAAAGCACGGAAAGCAAAGCGACCATTTCGATTCAGGATGGAACTGCGGTGCCGGGGCCCACTCTGAGGCCTGGTAGGTAGGCAAGTCGGCACGGATGGCTGGCTGGCTTGCTTGGAGGAGTTGCAGGAGAGTGCCATGGTAGAGGGGCTTCCCTGACTGCTGCCGCTTGCGGGCACGAACCGCGCTACCGCCGTCAGCAGGCAGTCTTATTACGCCCGCACTCAACTACGCGAACTAAGTACTCTTCTTAGGCCGGCCACACATCGAATAACAATTGCGGGACTAGCTAACGCGTGAATTCGGGCTGTACTTCGAACGGTGTTCATTTCGCGTCGAAAATCCTAGATCTTGTTTATTTCGAAGGGGTACGAGACTGTTTTTGCATGTTCGATTCAGAGTTCGGTTCCAGCGACAAGTCGCTTTTTCGAATCAACGAAATCGATCTCGAAATCAGTTAAAGAATCGAGCCGGGAGGTGGCGAAGAACCTTCGAGTTCGATTGGTCGGCGAGGACCTGATGCTCGGTCAGAGGTAACTTTAGAACGTTTCTTTATTCGATTCGTTGTATCGATAAAGCGTATTTCTGCATGGAGATATTTAACCGATATTTCTTTTGTATTCTCCCTCTCGAAAGTGTAATTTTTGGCATTTTATTGATACGTGTGTGTATTGTACTTTCGGAATTACGCTGTTGCTTTGGAAATTACTCGAAATCTGTACGATTTAAAGTTTTATCGAAATATTCGTAATATTTCGAATAAATAAATAAAAGAATAAATTCATTGGTAAATTTATTGAAATTTGTAACGAAACGCGAATAAAAGGTTATGAACGTAGCGCGATTTAGAGGTTTGAATGTTCTTGTTGAAAGAGTGACATTGTCTCCCCCCTGCGTCAATTTGACGAATCAAAATTCGACAGGCACGCTTGACCTGGAATGCCAGTTTTACGCGCAACGTGTGAAGGAACGTGTCTGCTGTGAGTTTGGTGTGAAAAATAGAAGAGGACAGACGTTCTATCGACCGTGGCGACGATTAGTTTCGTTTTCTTGGTAGTAGAAGCACGTCGCCGTTAACATCGACGGTCATTACGTTGTTTGTCGCGCGCCAAGAATTCGCGTCCACGCATACCGAACTGTCACGATTACCGCGTGTCACGAATTCATCTTGTATTTTGATCGTTCAGAACGCTCGTATCGAGGTACGCAAAACCTACGTAGATAATCAACTGTGCTACATCGTGAAAGGTGATTCAACGAAGGTCGGGCATTCAACGAAGATGAAAACATCGGCTCGTGACAGATTCGGCAAAAACAATGGTCAATTTCGAGTCTCCATGCAAACACGCTTAACGATCAATTTCGCCGAAAATCGAAATTGGCTTTTAGAGGTTAAGGCCAAGCAATCAAGATTAATATCTCGTTAATTGTGTCGTTGTTCGTGTCTCATACGTTGTCAACTGTATGTCATAGGTTACTGCGTTGAATCGAACATACATTATTTCGTCTACACTCCTGATGGTTAACGTACACGGAGATGTGGTCAGTGTGAAGACTGCTTAATAGCGAGGAACATGTGCAACCACGGAATAGTGGCGAAGCCGATGTTGCCGGGGCACGAGCTACAGTGTGACCACTCTGTTCTCGACGAACCCTGACCGATTCCACCAGTTCGTTTCACCAGCTGACTGTCGACCGGGACTGAAAACACGTTGCGGTGAATGCGCTCGTTTGAATATTCGTATGGTTGAATCGTGAGACTCGCGCGGTAGAGAGAAATCGGCAAAAGTGTCGCTTCGAGTTAACGCGTACGGTGTATAGACCGAGTTTCTTTGAGAAGAAGCGGTGTGTTCGCAAAATTACACGTTTTCACGTACATTCGGTACGCTATGAACATCAACGTTCTTGGATGTAACGGGTGGTTCGCAAGTAAGTGGACAAATATTCTTTTACTTTACGCTTATAACCTCTTGCCGCCATTTTTTCTTTCCATCGAAAATAGCGCCCTTTTCAAATCTGCGTAATCAATTAACGCTTCTTTTTTATTTTCTTTCTTAACGAAACATAAAACTCGTTCGCGTGTATAACCGCTTTTCGAACAAGACTTCTTACCATGTCGATTAAATTCGATTAGCCTTTCCGAATATTCCGACATGTTCGATAAAAAGTAAACAAACAGTAGCGTTCGAGGCAATGGATGATGTAACTGCATACACGCAACTTGTCGCGACACGAACCAAATACAGCAATTTACGTTTGATCTATCGTTTTGATAATCGAGTATACATACAAACAACAACAACAACAATAACAAACGTAACAACGAAACTTTACTCATTTCGAATGAAATTACTATGGTAATGAGAAAATTATACGTTATCAAGCTGCCACAAAAATTACATTGCGAATGAAGATTGACAAAAGCGTCACCGTTGCACACACGCTGTTACTACCGGATTCAAAACTCCCGCCATAGCCCCGTGCATTTCGGTTCAAAGGTTGGCATTGTTCTTCGACCACGGTTGTCCCAGGTATCTAATTAAAATTTTTCTCCCCTGCTAACGGGTCATTGTCACTTTGATACACGAAACAAAGAGGCTTATCTCGGTCGGTCGGTGGTGCGCGCTCGTGTAACCCAATTAACGTTTCCAATTATACGTTTTAGGAAAGATTAACGAGGTAGGAAAGCGTAACGAACGCCTGCTACCACGATATTCGAGGGCCTCGCGGCACGTTCCTCTAGACGTAAAATCTTTTCGTGCGCCTAATTGCGCTCGCGGATCAATTTCGAATAGGGCTGCGCAAATCGCTGGTAATGCACATAATGTACTTATTATCCGATGCGCACACCCCACCACACGTTCCTGCCCTCGTAAACCTTTATCTATAGTGGGTCCCCGCCTATTCGACTAATCGTGACCATGCATCGTGTTCCTCAATCTTCGTCTAATTCTTCACGTTGCCCGATGCAACGGTGCAACCTGCACGCCGCGTAACCGCATTCTTTCCTGCCTGTTTCTGGATACCCCTGGCCACGTGGATTTTCGAGCATATCTCTTTTTCCCTCTCCGCCCCGCCGGGATACAAATTTCAGCGGCGGAGGGGATCCCTGTCTGGGGAAAGTTCTGGAGACTTTGGGTCACGCCATGTTGGTCATTTGGTCGGATGTCGCTTCTGGGTGGAATGCAGGTGCTCGAGATGAATTTCGAAAAGGCTGGAAAATCACTTTGCCACTCGACTACCCTCCAGTAATAGACACTTTCCAGGAAATTTTTGAATAATTTCCTTTTTCCCGCTCGACCGTGTGATCGATTAAAAGTACGGTTACTCGGAGTTTCAATTATTAGCAATTGGAATAACAGTTACGTGGAAGGCTGTTTGGATTTATGGAAACGTAAATACACTGGAGAGCTTCCGCTTGAAATTCATCATGCTATCGAGGCCGTCGAATTAAACGATCGGTGGCCAGCCACTTTCGGTGCCGGACGTCGATACTCGTTTCTCGGAGTACAGCGGACGTTGATAACGATTAGTAACGATCCTCTCCGCGGATTCACGGAACTCCGTGGAATTATTCATGAATATAATTCATTTCGTTATCGGATTTATCGTCTGACGGGCGGGGAGGGAACTTCTTTTTACCTGGTTGAAAGTGTGAAGAAACGCTTTCCGTCGGGTTTATTTAGCCGTTCCAGGTACCGGCGTCGGCTACATGACACTGAACAGGCGAAGAAAAACAAGATCTGGAGAAAATGCGTGGGTTTCGTTATCAACGTTGGTAATTTATGCACGCGCGACTAGTAGATTCCTGTTCTTAACGGAGTACCGCACCGAGTCATATATCATCTCTTGTACGCGATCGGAACTGAATAATCAATTAATAAGGAGAATAAATGATTGCTCCATCAGCTAGGGGACACGCATAAATCTTGCCGCACGGTTGTCGCGTCGAGATTATTGTTTTTCAAAAATTCAACGTCACCTCGCTCGATAAAATGTCTCGTCACGTGTTTCCGTTTGCTCTTTCTTCGCGTGTTCCAGCTATCCGGGAAGAAATATTGGATCTCGCAGCACGGGATACTCGCGATATAAATATATAAAGGATAATTTCGCTACGGGTATAAAGGGAGATTACTTGTCTAAGTGGAAAGGGAACGAAGGAAATCGATATTAAAGATCTATCAATGATACACGTCATGGACGGAAATTTGAAAAGTGGGTGGAATTTTATACCCCAGTTCGCTCAGTGGGAGTGACCTTGAGCGAATGGAGGAAATCGATATTAACGATCTATCAATGATACACGTCATGGACGGAAATTTTAAAAGTGGGTGGAATTTTATACCCCAGTTCGCTCAGTGGGAGTGACCTTGAGCGAATGGAGGAAATCGATGTTAACGATCTATGAATGATACACGTCAGAGACGAAAATTTGAAAAGTGGGTGGAATTTTGTGCTCCAGTTCGCTCAGTGGGCGTGACCTTGAGGGACCAGGTGATTTCGAGGATACCGTAACCCGATATCAAATATCAAATCCGTTTCATTTCCTCCAGGTGCTCGGGGCGACAGGTCGCTGTTCACAGCTGGCGAAACTAACGAGCAAAGTCGAACCCGATCGAAGGCCACATGATCATTTACATACAATTTGACGCGCAGCGAGGAACCCTGGACAGTATAAAAGGGGTGCAAGTCGAGCAGAAAAGAACCCAGGAACGTAATATAGAAGCGATAATGCTCAGTCACGTTGTGAACTAAAGACGCGCCAGCTGAACCGTTGATCTGCTCGCGTGGGTGTAACGAGAGGTATAATGCGCGGAAAATTACCGGCAGGCTTACGACCCCCTCGAAATCACCACCTTGAGATACATACCGAGGTTCCATTAAGCGAAGCCCCGCGAAAAATGATATTCCGTATCATTGCCGTGGCTGTTTCTCGAAATCCCTCGCTGCTGGATCCGATCGGACGTAATAACGGATATCGCGTGTACGACACCACGAGATTTCCCTTCCTCTTTATCGAAACGAAGAGGAAGCTCGAGGAAGCAATAAAATAATCGCGAAACCCATTCGTCGTGAGTTGAAGAAATTTCAACGAGATCGGAAGTATACACCAGCGGAATCGTTAATCGTCGAATTTTGTTTGCCTAGAAAAGGAAAATTAAAATTAATTACAATTTCTCAAGTCGATCCGACAATTACGATGCCACAATTTCTATAAATAGTCTGCTCGGTACCGCTTCGATGATATCGTAACGGCCAAGTACGCTGTATGTACAGTTGCTTACGTACCTATCTTCCAACTGGCGCAGCCCTATGGAGGATTAAAATTTGATGCAGAAATGGTACAAACGTAATAAACGTATCTCTCGAGCGCCTCTTATCTTACTCCGGGGTACTCATATTCGAGCAGTTTCACCGATCTTCTCGAAACAGCCGGTACACCGAGAAGCCTCCGCGTAACGAACGAGTTAGATAAAGTCGGGGTTGGGCCTGGATCCGGCGTACACGAAGATCCGGTAGAATACGGGGAAAGCGTAAGATAGGATTTTTCGGGCAGGTGGAGTTACACGGGTTGTTATTGGAATCCGGCGTGTAACGGAGCGCGAAGTTGGGGGTAGTCTGTTAAACGCGACCGATAATAAAGGGACTTGTTTAAGGCCAGCGTGTACCGTAATAGACGAGATTAAGACGGTGAAAGAAGAAAAGGAAGACGGTGTACGCGTTACGTGAAAGCTGCAATGCTGTTATAAATAAGACGATAACGTTTCTCGCCGCTACGTGCTAAAGATGTGCCAGATCGACGACCCGCCAACAGTCCGTGGGCGTCCGTGAGGCCCCGATAGCGTCGCGGACTTTTCTCCTATTGTCTTCGACAGGTATTCGGGTGTGTCTGACGCGGATGCTGAAAAGCCGGCAGATAGAGCTGCCTTTTTCCCGTCGACTGATTAGAGAAACTCGCGATTATCTGCGAGAAGGGTGGTACTTAGACGGATAAAGTCGGGGCCCGGTTATCGCGAGTTCCCGATCCTTCGTGGAATCCTTCGCTCCATTACATTTCTAGATCCCGTATCGCGTCTGCAACGATTTTCTCTTAATCTTCGACGATTAGTATGTTACCAGTCGGATGGAAGTTTCTATTGATTTTTGCCGGCGCTCGGAACGCGAATAAAACGAGCCTGTTAGATGTGTTCGAGCGACGTAGGTGGCGCGGCGGGAGCAATAACACGAGAAAACGCGAGAAGAGCTTTAGGAGAGGCAAGAAGTCGGCCAGCGCAAGAAAGGAGTCGCGCGATAACGCTGCATACATCTCCGCGTCGTGTCAGGACGAGATGAACCGCGCGATTAAAGATAAATGAACACGCGGACCTTGCCACTTATTCGATCTCTCTATACCGCCGTTTAACCGTGCAATTCTCAGCCGATAAAACGGGCCTACGCTAATATCGAACAGTTCCGGTTCCAGCCACGAGGAGAGTGGCGAAAATTGCGTTTCGGATAGAAACGAAGGGTAAATTGCTAGATTCGAGCATCGGAAGACGCATGTAGTGACGCGTGCGGCATCATTGATCACTTTCAAGTAACCTTTTCCACCAACGAACACAATCATCGATTTCTCGTTAGATCCTCGTAAGATCGGCTAAAGGTACGAATACTTTAGACGGTAGACAGGGGAGCAGGAAAGTTCACGTTGCAGTGTCGCCTTCTATGATTACCGCGAGAGGCGATATTTTCCTAGAGTCACGGAGAAATCATTCTAAATATGGAAAATTGTAAATCGGAGAAAGAGAGAAAGAGATAGAGAGAAAGGGATGGAAAGAGGAAAGGATCCGGTAAGACGTACGAGTGTTCGGAGCGTAGAACAGAATCCATCGCGAGCTGGTTGCACGCCGAAACAGGGAGTAAGACATTTTTAAGAGGCCGGGCAGCAG